TGGTGATGGTGGTGATGATGGTGGTGGCAGTGATGAGTACTGTCTCATCTCATCCCCTGTTCCTTTCCCCCTTCGGCTTCCTCCACAGAATGCAGTCAGTGAGGCACTGACCCTACTGTCCTCTGCTCTCCAACTTATGCTGGCTTCTGTGGCACCAGAGCCCCTGACCTGTATTAATGGCTGATCTCTGTATTGCATGTCCCCTTCCCCTCTGAAACCACAGACAAACTCTTCCTTCAAAACCCATTTCCAGACTCTCTGCTCTCCCAGACAGGTTTCTTTCATCTGTCCTGGGCAAGTTCAGCCATCCTGGATGTCTTTGGCCCTTAGATGCACACATTTTCAAGTGTGATTCAATGTCCTTTTCTGGAAGAAAACCCGTGTTTTCTAATTTAAATTGTGGTGCTTTCAGAGCAGCAGGGATGGTATCTTCTGTCCTGCCTATATTCCCCTCAGCATCCCTTCTGGGGGGAATTCACCTGCAGGCAGGTAACACTGGCCACATTGTTGGCCTACTGGCCACTGACAGAGGGGTGCAGCATCTGCTCCTTGAGCAGCCCAGCTAATCAGTTTCTCCTAGGAAGGCATCATCTAGATAATTCCACTTCACTATGTGCAATGCAGGGAAGTGCGTTTTCTCATTTGTCCCTCCACCCGTGCAACCACTCACACAAAATGGAAACCATTAGTAAGCAGTAGGTTCCGTGTGGTGGAAGGAAGGGACCATGGGTGACTCTCAGTGAGTGCACTCACGTAAGGAGAGGAGAACAGGGTCCATGGATGCGCTCTCCCCCACAAAAAACGCAGTAGCTTGCAGCTTAAACTGTGGATCGTAATGAAACTTCAATAAAAATTTTAGTTTTCCTTCCTCAAACCACCTTGCTTTATTTTGTTCATGTTTCCTAGGATATACGTGAATATAAATCCCACTTTAGGAGACTCGAAACTCATGGCAGTGCCAGCAGATGTGAATTTGGATGTCTTGGAAGGCGTGGCCTTTGGAAAGGTTTGCAGCGCTGACTGCAACCGCCAGGGCCGGGCCTGCTGAGCGCAAGGCCAGGAGCCCAGTTACTCCCTTGTTCACTCACTCGCTCAACAAACCAACCTTGCACTGGGCCAGGGAGCCAGCCCCCCTTCCCCCGCCCCCAGGGCCCCACCTGCAGGGAGCCTGTGGGTGGAGGCAGATGAGTAACAATCACAGGCTGGAGCACAGGGCCCCCAGTGGTGAGCCCGCTGCAGGGCTGGAGGGGCTCAGCCCTGTGCGGGGCTGGAGGGGCTCAGTCAGCAGGGAGAGCCTGCGACAACCTAACGGCCTCTCCCTTCACTTTCTTCCTTGCCAGGTACTGGAGGCTAGCGGAATGCCCATGGATGACGACCAGTATGCTCTGCTGACTGCAAAAATAGGATATCAGAAAGAAGGGATGAGTTATCTTGATTTTGCAGCAGGATTTGAAGGTAGCTAATCTCCAGCGCCAGCCCTGCTGGGACGCGACTGGTGGCACCTCCAGGCTTGTTGAGCGGTGCCTCGAGGCTGTGGGTTGAAGTAGCGTGAGCTGAGATGCGGAAACAGTGTGTGTTCTAAGACTAGAAACAGACATTTTTGTTTGATTTTTGTCTGACTGTGTTTCGGCCTTTTCTTTTCACTAAACCAAACTGTGAGTGCAGAATTTTGCCTCTACAGACTTCTACAGACTTAGAGCACACACGGTTTCTAAAATTTGCTCCAAAGCCCATGCTCCTTCCATCACGCTTCCTGTCCTTTGAGATTTTTCCTCCTGAGAATAGCTCCGGTTTGTCTGTGGTTAGCGGCACCCATGCACCACCAAGGCAAGCATCCTTCCTCCTTTTCTGTAGAGAAGGACACAGAGAGTCTAAGAGATTCCACAACACGCCCAAGATCACTCAGCTGCTGGCCCTCCCCTCCCCCTGCCCCAAAGCGGTTGCCAGGAAATTCGTGGCGTACAGCACAGTCAAGCCTGGAAGCTGGGGCCTCCCGTTTGCCCCCGTTCTTGTTCTGCCCCCTGCCCCACACTTGGCAGAGAGAGAACAAGCAGCCGGCCCCCCCATCTCTCTGCCGTGTCATCCTCCCCCTGGTCTCCACTCTTGCTGAAGTTTAGACTGACAAATAAGCCCTCTAGAAAAGCTACAGAAATCACACAAATACGTTGACGGAATACTCTTCTGTTTTGCTGCAAATGCACTCGGGCTGGACAGGGCAGGACATTTTGCCATCCTCCCCATGTTCGGTCTGGGAGATGACGGTGCAGTGTGATGGGTCTCCCCTAGGGACAGTGGCAGCTGGGACTCCTCACCGGGAAAATGCGAAGGTCCCTTCTGACCATCGCAGACTAGCATTAGAGTCCTGTCCTAGGGGAGGGGAGGTCCCACATGCCGGAAAAACAGGCAATTCGAGAAGCCATAGAATTTTAGAATGTTGACACTTTGGGTATATGACACTTTTGAAGGAGCACAAAAAGAAGGAAAAGGAACTCACATTTATTTTAGTGCTTCCAGTGTGCCAGGTGAGTTCATTTTTCACGTGAGAAAGTGGGGCCCAAGGTGAGTCAGTCAGTCACTTGCCCCAGGTCCCAGAGCAGCAGGTCCTTTGCAGAATGAAAATCTGACTCAATAGCCAACAACTGCTCTTGGCTTCCTCCCTACCCCTGTTCTTTCCTCCCACTCTCCTCCTCCTCCTCTGCCCCCACCAGTCCCCCAGCACTGCCTATCTTCATGCATAGCCAGACGCTGACAGGGGTGGGGGTAGAGACCTAGGCCCCAGGCTGGCTCCAGGGCGAGGGTCTGGGGTGCGCACAGCAGATGGTGCTGATGGTGCTGGGGGTGGGGGTAGAGACCTAGGCCCCAGGCTGGCTCCAGGGCGAGGGTCTGGGGTGCGCACAGCAGAGGCGAGTTAAGCAGCAGGGGAAGGTGTGATCTGCCAGGTGTAGTGAACCTGAGGAGGCCACTCCAAGCCCGGGTTAAGGTGAGGTAAAAGCCAGGTTCAAGACTGGACCATAGGATGCCCACGAGCTCCAGATGCTCGGCCCACCTTCCATCCTACAGACCACAGCAGTGGAGAGAGGGTGGTGGCGACATGTGCAGAGAACCACATCTAAAACCAAGTCCCAGGTTTGTAGCCTGGCTTTAAACAAGGCCACACTCACACTATCCCAACCTGGTGGAAATAGCTTGTTTTTTAAGTAGAGATTATAGTTTTTTCCTCTGTTTTAGGGGAGAGAGAGGGCGTAACTCAGTAATTAGCCTGCCGGGCTCTGGAATCTGGCGGGCCAGAGTTCAGTGTTGCTGTCCATGAACTCTGTGAACTTGGGGAAGTTGGGGGAACCCCCTGAACCTCCATCTCTTCATATGTAAAATGGGCAAAATAATAGATATCCTTGCGTGTAAACGAGGCACAAGAAGAAAATCCACCTCTTAAGGTTGTTGAAAAGACCAGCAAATACTTGAAGGCCCCTCTTACAGTGTCCAGCAGATAAGCGGTCAGGAAACACCTGGTGGATTAATGAATGTTGATTGACTTACACAATGCTATGTTTAGGGCACGAGGCTAGGAACCAAAACCAGGCAGGAATTCTCATTCACTGCCTCTGGGAATGGAGGGATGAGCAAGATTCCTGCCCTGTTGGAAAAACGGACGGGCATGGTGGCCGCGGTGTGCTGGCCGACAGTGTGGCCCTGCCATAGAGAGAACGAGTCCTTGCAGTGATGGGAGAATGTCCAAGAAACTGAAGGGAAAGAAACCAGATCATAACCAAGTTAATGCTAAGTTCACTTCACAGAGCCTCATTCCCGTCGAGTATTCAGGCAGGATTTGGGACAGGAAGACATCCAGGTTGCAACAGAAATAAAGAGGTAAGCATGCCACTAACGGAAGTCTTCTGGTTTATGTCATTGTTTCAGATGCTAAAATGAAGGGGCCAGAAGTGACCCCATTGCAGACTCCAGTTCTTTCAAAGAATAATTTAGACAGCTACTTTATAACCGCTGAAGAATGCCTGAAGCAGTTCCCCCAGAGACTGAAGGAAGCCTTCCGGGTAAACTATGACCTATCTACTGTTTGGCTTATCTGGACACCTCCCCCCCACCATGCTCCCAGCCCTTCAACCATGCAGGCTGTCACTCCGGGAGCCCGTTATGTTTGGCTCATCATGGGACACACCACAGACTCAGGCTCACCCCTTCTCTCCTTCCTGGGGAGGGGGACTCGGCCTTAACTCTGCAATCCCCTCCCCTCCCTGAGGTCCTTCCCTGCTGCCACTTTGCTGGCTCTGCCTTCTGCCTCTCAAAGGCCTTGGAGAAATAAGGAGGGGATGGGGTGGGGAGGATCTGGGCAACCTGAGTTACAGGGAATTTAGGATCCATTCATCCCTCGTCTTCACACCACCCATTCACTCACCAGATGAGCATTATACACTTACGATAGGCTGGAATCTCTGCTAAAAGCTGGGGATGAAAGGTAGGAGCTCCATCCATTCTGAGACGCAGATGGTTCAGACACATGGGATTGCCGGTTGTAGAGGGAGCTGTAGCCTGCTATGGAGGCACAGGGAAAACAGCCCATTAAGGAGGAATTCCTGGAGGAGGTGGCTCCTGAACCAAAGCCTAAACCCCCAGCATGTGCTGGCCAGAAAAAGGAAGGAGCAAACACTAAAAGAGGGAGCTTGCTCAAGGCAGGCGGCGGACAGGTCATGGGCTTCAGGGAAAAGCTCACTTATCGGTAGGATGGGTTGCATGTGGAAGCTGGAATGGATAAGACAGGAGAAATAGACAGTAGCCATTGAAACACAGAGGAGGCAAAGAACAACTTAACTGCTGTGGTGAGGAGTAAAAGGAGCAGTCAAAGGGGGAAGATCAATTTAATAAGCAGACTGTATTAGCTATAGGGTGGAGGCCCCAGGGTGTGCAGGGGCACGTGGGCGAGGAGGGGGTGAGTCCAGAAGAGAAGGGTGGGGAGCAACCTGGGGGTGGAGCTAGCCCCTGCGTGCTTCTGTGTTTCTGAAGCCTCTTCCCCGCACTGACTGCCAATTGGAGATGCATTTTGGTTACCAAGCTCCCATTTAAAAATAAATGTATTTATGATGACTGTCTAGCTTGGATTTGCAGGATGGTTCTGACTTTGAACATTCTGTCCAGCCATCAGACCCTGCATCCTAATTCTTGGTTTGAAAAGCTGTGGTCCCCGTAAGTGTACGCAGAGAAGGGCTGGTCCTCAGTACTCGGTCTGAGCGAATGCCCAGCCCCGGGGAGCACAGAGCAGGCCGGGGTCAGGTAGAGGGTTGAGAGCCTGGTTTTCTGAAGAAGGAAGGCCTGGCTGAGGGCGAGAGGGCAGAAGGGGAGGTAGAGAGGCTCCGGGATCCAGCGTCCCCTCTGCGGCCATCAGCAGAGGGCCGGAGTGGCCCAGAGGGGTCCCAGGACAGCACCCCTCTGCTGCCCTTACCCAGCGCACTAACTCACCCACTCTGTTGCAAGCCAGACCCCGTTTTCTGGCCTCTCCCTCCACCTGTCTCCTCTGCACACCTTTCCCGGTGGGGGGACTCAGTGGGGAGAGCCAAGCTCTGTGCTTGCACCGCTGTTTTCCTACCTTTGGTCCCCATGCAGCTTGGTGACAGCACACACATGTCCCGTATTTCCCAGTGATCTTTAGTTTAAATAATTACACAGTGAACTGATTCAATGAACACTCACTGACACCCACTCTATCCTACCAAGAGTTTATAATCTAGTGGTTGAGACAAAGAAGTGAACCTCTAATTGCCAGAGTTTGCATGGTCTGTACTAGGAGGCGGGTGACGTCTGGGGTCATTGCACATTTGCTTGTTGTCCTCACAGGTGGGCGTGGACGAGGCAAAGTGTGTGCCTTGATTTTTGAATGGGAAGGGATGGTCACTTGACTTACTTTATTGAGTTCCTATTCATGAGAAATTCTTGAACGTCTCTCCTCATCAATAATGAAAAACCTGACTTGAATTAGTTTAAAATACAATCACAGCTGCTGCTGCTGTCGGCCCAGTAATTCTATAGCCGAATGAGGCCATATCAGTGCTCAGCTGGGGTCACAGCCACAGCTCAGGCCAAAAACCGTGAAGAGCTGAGGACATAATTCATCTTTTCTCCCTGACAGTGGTGAGGAAAGCAGGCCCAAAGAGCCCCTGGGTGACCCTGGGACACGACCTGACCACGGGTTCTCTGTTGGCCCCTGTGGGCTCCCTCAGCCCAGGGACAACATCTCTGCAGGGTCAGGCATATGTCCATGGATTCAGGTTTATATTTTAAAACAATCAGGACCTACCCCTCCCCCCCCATACACACAAATGGGATCATTCTATACATACATTTATCAACATCATTTTTCACTTCATGGTCTGTCCTCGACATTGGACCTTGGGGGCTGGCCTCAGCATGTAGCCCTGATCAGAGCATCCCCTTTGCTGGTCCCCCTAGGACCGGCCTCAGTCCTGCCTGATTGGCCTGTGGGCCCCAGTTCTGCAGTGGCTGGGACTGCCTCTCCAGCTGCACCTTGACCCCTCTCCTCCTCACTTCACACTCCAGCCAGTGTTCTTCCTCACCTTCATGTCTTTGCACATTCTGTTCCTTTGCCTGGACTGCCAGTCCAACCCCTTTGATCAGTTAACTCCTCCCCAAGCTCTGATCTTTCTTAAGTGCTCCGTGCTTCCCCTCGCCTTCAGATCTGTGGGGAGATCGGCTGCCGTCTGTTCCCCTCCCAGCACAAGTGCACGTGGACTTGTAATCCTATGAGACATTAGGGCTGAGTTGTTCCTGAATCATCCACAGTAACTCAAACGGCCACCACAGTGCCTGCCATGTAATATGTGATCAATATGTATTTGTTGAATGAATAAAAGACCTCACATTCCATGCCAGGCAGTGAACTGGAAGGATTACCTACATGGCCTCATTTGTTTAAATCCTTACCCTACCCTATCAAGTAGGCATTAGCATCCCCATTTAACAGCTGGAGAAACCAGGGGTCTAATATAGGGAGAAACTTACCCAAAGCCACATGTCTAGTAGAGGTTGCATCTGTGTGACTCCAATAAAATTAGGAGTCTTCATTCTGGGGAGCCAAACCCCGAGATGTGGGGAATGATGAAGGTTTTTATATTTGTGAAGATTATCAACGTGGGTTCCATGGCATGTGGACTGTCCCCATCATCCGGCTGTCCACGCTGGCAGTGAGCACGGCTCTCACGCCTGACTTCTGGCACCTGCCACACTGACTTGCTGTCATTGGCTTGCAGCCTTTGTGCCCCACTGGACTGTGAGAACTTTGATGTCAGGGACCGTGTTGTAGTTACAATGTGTGTCCACCCAGCAGAGTGCTTGGCACGTAATAGGTGCTCAGGAAACACTTGCCCTCTCCAGACCCAACAGCTTCATTCCACAGGTGTTTATGGAGCACCGCTCTGAGCTGCAGATACAAGCAACAGATCAGAGCCCCAGTCACATGTTTACCTTCCAGAAAGGGAGCAGACAGTGAAGGCATAAGTCTCTAGTTTGTCAGGCGGTGACATGCTCTATGAAGAAAAGTAAGGCAGGGTGAGTGTCAGGGACCCATCAGGGTGCCGTTGTCCGGAGGGGGTCAGGAGATGCTCCCTGAGAGGTGACGTTGGAGCAGACACGCCAAAGGGTGCAGGTACTGTGGAGAATTCCCTGAGATGCCCAAGGCAGGCTTGGCACGTGCCCAGGACAGCAAGGGGCAGAGGAGAGGAATGAGGGCAGAGGGTCTCCGGGTTTGGGGGCCGTAGCGGGACCTAGGACCTGATTGTGCGTGCGGCAGAGAGCCGGCGGGGTGAGCAGAGGTGCGGCGGGCACTGACCTGGGCTGTGCGAGAGGGCGGTGGCAACAGTGGGGGTGCCCCCAGCCCCTCGTGCGCTTCCTGTGGGGTCCGGAGAGCGGCGCTGGGACCGGGCGGCGCGCGCAAGGAAGGCAGGGGCCGGGCTTGATGTCAAGGTCTGTGAAAAAAAGCCTGTCACCTCTGGATGTGGGAAAGCCGAGGAGGAGCAAGTTGAGGGCGGGGCTCGGAGGTCAGGGGCTTGACCTGGGGCTTGTTTGGTTTGACATCCAAGCGGAGATGCTCCAGAGCCCCTGCAGATGTGAGCTTGGAGGGTGTGGGGGGGCCTGGCGCTGGCGGTGTCGCGGGAATCGGCAGCAAAGAGGTGGCCTGCACCCCGAGCAAGTCCCCAGCGGTGGTGACACAGGTGGCTGCCTGCTGGATGGTGGTGCCCCTGGGAGGCAGGGGCAGCATTGGAAGTGGGTCTCCATACCATTCAGCGCAGTGACTGCATATAGGAGGTGCCGAGTGAATGCGGGAGTGAAGACAGGTCTCTCCACAAAATCCCAAAACGTCTGAACTAGACACTTGAGTCACAGCGGGTCTCGCTTTGTTATAAATAAGGCAGATCCCGGGACATGCGGGTAGGACTGCACGCCTCCAGAGTCACCAGACGAGCCCGCAGCCGGTGGGGGGGGG